AGCAGCAAGGGCGCGGGACCGCGGCTCGCATACGTCGCCGGCAGCTGCGAGGATTGCCCCAAAGGCTCCATCGCTCTGGCGGAGCGATACTCGAGCGCCCCGTCGACGTCCGAAGGGAGCCTCACGAGGACCCGGTGCCCGACGACCGGCGGCGGAGACGCTTCTCTGGACCTAATCGATCAAGGGCTCTTCTCCATCATAGACTTCGCGCCGCTAGGAGGCGAAGCGGGCAACGTCATGGGGGTGAAGGTCGCCTCCGACCAGGGCTGGATGCATTTGGAGCACACCTACGCCGGAATGTTTCAGTCGTACGGACTCCCCGCGAATGAGAGCATCGTGCTCTACGTGACCGACGGGTTCGGGGCTGAGCGGGGCTACGCGTGCTCCCGCCGAGATTTCGACCTCATTTGCACGCCCAGTTCCTCTCAGGGCGCCACATCGAGGAAGCCCCTCTGCACCGCCCCCGATCCTCCCCAGAGGTTCTCTACGATCGTACCCATCCCGCTGGACTCCTCGATCCCTCCCCCGACCATCCGATTCGGTCTGCAGTCTCCTTAGGAAACGTTGAGAAGGCAGTCTTCCGGTACCCACTGGCTCTTCGTCTTCCCGTGATTTCTGCGTTACACACTGCTGTTTAGCTTCTATCTCAGAAGCAGGACCCAGGTTCGAGACCCCATTTAGGGAGAGGCGATTTTGCATGTAGAGCAGCCAACATGGATGAGCATGAGGTCGTGGAAGCAATCAGGGCGAAGACAGGGTCTGCCGATGCGAACGGGTGTCTTCCATGGTTGGGACGGTTGGATGTGAATGGTTACCGCACCTTGAGGAAGAGTGTGAATAAAAAAATGCAGCAGACCAACGTGCGGCGCTTTCTCTGGGGCTTCAATCATCCGGATGAGCCCCTAGACAAGTTTCATAAATGCAAGGTGATCTGTGAGAACAACAAGTGCGTCAAAGTCGAGCATCTCCGGAGAATGCCTCTGAAAGAGGAGAAGTCGTCCGCGATCATCTGGGCGAGACTGGAGAAGCGTGGGGTGCGGCTCGGCAACGGGTGCCTGGTCGCCGAGAAAGCGTATGAAAAAGTCAGTCTCCGTGGTGTGATGATGGGGATCCACAAAGCGTCCTATATGCTTCACAAGAGCCTGGTGGAAAGTCCCACGGAGCAAGACGAGAACGGAGTGCCGCTCGTATTGCGACACCTGTGCAACGACTCGCGCTGTTTCGAACCGACTCATCTAGCATACGGTACTCTGCGGGAGAACAATTATGACGACAAGATCGCTAACGGGACACTGCCGAGGGGTCCGAAGAATCACAATGCCAGTATATCGGAAGAACTCGCCCGTCGAATCAAGGACTCGAAGCCCACGACGAGGAGGGGTCAAGCGGGCCACGAGACTGCAATTGAGCGCGCGAAGCGTTTTGGAGTACATGTGAAGATCGTTTACAAAATCGATAGTGGGGAATGCTGAGTCTAGACAAGACAAGAGCGCGGCTGGCTCGCGCGAAGGCCCGGGTCTGGATCATTGACACCGCGTCATGCCCCTGATCATAATGATGCCCAAACCAGGCAACCCCCCAAAAACCCTGCTGAACATCTCTCCTTGCGGTGTGTAATACTTTTTTTCTCTAACGTACTTACAAAATGAATATCACGTCTGGCAGCTCGACTTTCTTAGTTTCTGCATCCGATGAGCGTGCCTTGCAACAGTGGAACGAACTGCCTTTCGAATACAAAATCGTTAATACTCCAGGGGAACGCTTGCAAGGTGTGAAGTCATCCAAGCTTCAGCAACTGATAAAGGACACATCTGTACATGCAATTTCAGTGGTCGCTACTCTTGAAAGCCAATGAAGGGGAAGGTGAGATATCGTGCACACAGATCTCTTTCAAAAAAAATTCATACCCCATACAACTTCTCTGTAGATTCTCGTCTGATGCGATGCTTTCTGCGAGTTCAGGCGCCAACGAAACATACCAGTCCCTCAATCTGGATAGTCTAATCATGAAGTCATCAAGGTTTCCAGACAAGTCGTTCGTATGCATGTATCGGATTATGAATGCGCACAAGTCGATGAAGAATCGTCGCTCGTCCATAGGCAACAATACTGTATACAGCTGGAAAAATGCAAGAATGATAGGACGCATTGGACTGATGATTACTTGTGCTACCCTGCAGGCGCGATGGCGAGGCAATCACTCAGGCGGTCAGTGCCGGCGCCGGCGCGGGAACGTGATCAGGCTCGGGCGTCCGATCGATCCAGAGCGGGTTGAGGCCCGCGAGTATACCCCCTACAATCGGCGCACAGATGAATATCCAGATATGGCTCCATTGTTTGTGGTCGTTGCTGCCGGATGCGACCGCCGTTCCGATCAAATGATGGACTGGACGGGCGACATGTACAAGCAGGCTCGGCAGCGGTTGGAGAGCAAGATGAGAGTCGACGGGACTAGCTCCTACGGGGGTACCTCATGCCGAATTTGGATGGGAACAAAGATCAATGATGGATACGGTACGATAAGCGTCTTCGGAAGGAGCCGCTTGACGCACATTCTCTCTTACGAGATCAAGCAGGGGGGACCAGTCGAGGTCGGTCAGAAGATCGGGAAGGTTGTCCGGCATCTCTGTGGGAATCGCGCCTGCTGTGCACCAGAGCATCTAGAGATAGGGACGTGCAGCGAGAATGCAATTGATATGTTACGTCATGGGAGATGTGGTTTTGCAAAGCTGACGGAGGATCAGGTCCGGAAGATTCGAGCTACGTTTGGAAAAGACGGGCTTACGCATGCTCAGCGAGCCGTGAAGTACAATGTCTCGAAAGCTCATTTGAGGAGGGTAGAATTGCGTCGAATGCACAAGCATGTCGTATAATTGCGGTCAGAAATGGGGGGCAGGCTCGGCGGTAGAGCAGTTTACGATCTCAGGACGCAGTCTTCTGGCACCCACTGATTCTTAGTGCCCCCATCGTAGACTTTTGCATAGCCTTGTTCGATGCAGATGGTTTGCAGAGACTTTGTATCGTCAGGGGAGAGGTAGATATCTCCAAGACACCTCCCGTACTTATCCCAACCCTTCGCATCCATCCAGATCAACGCCACATTCTCTCTGAAAAGCTTGTTGATATCTTTCCTCGTATAGTTTCCATCTATCTCAAATACCCCTGGTGCCACGAGAGAAAGCATACGGTTGCGCGCTTTCACGGCCCAATCTTTTACCGTGGGGTGTTTCGCATTCATTTCCGGCGAGTCGATACCGAGTAGCCGCACGATGATCTTGTGAACGTCGTTGTTTTGAAACGGAAATACGACCGTACAAGTATCAAGGTCATGCATAGCGACAACCCGCGCGTAAGTCTTCAATCCATCCAAAGAGAACAGCTTTGTCGAGTCATCGTATTTGGAGAGAAGCTGTGCAGCTTGCTCCTTATCCATGTCGTGTCCAGTGCTCGAGAAAATAAAGTGAACCGCATAGACTCTGATGCATACAATCGCCCGGCCGATCACACAAATGCATTCAAACGATTCCATATGGCCCGTCTCGCGCAAGGGTCCAGGTTGGCGTGAGTAGCTATTCGTTCGCCCATCTTTGGTATTAGTTTTTGAAAAGGTCGTCAGGGTGCCGGCGCTTCCTTGCCCGCCCCGTTCTGCTCAACGAGGGCTCGCAATCGCATCGCCGCTTCCACGGTCTCCATATCTCCGCTATTTATCATGGTTTGGCGTAACCCTCCCGGATACAGATCGCCTGCAAGGTCTCACCCCTGTCGGACGCAGGATCGTCGAGAAATAGGTCGACCAGCAGACGCCCGAACTTCTCGTACTCGTAGGCGTGTATGTAGAGCATGCTGACGTTCTCCGCGAGCAACCTCTCGATGTCCTTCTTTGCGTAACTACCGTCGACCTCGAAGACGCCTGGAGCGATGAGCGAGAGCATGCGGTTACGCGCCTTCACGGCCCAAGCCTTCACGATCGGGTTTTTGGACGTCAGTTCCGCGCTATCCAGGCCTAGGACCCTACAATTGATCTTATGGACATCCCGGCCTTAGAATGGAAACACTACCGAAATAGTGTCCAGATCATGTAAAGACACCAGTCTGCAATATGTCTTCAGCCCTTCGAGAGAAAAGAGTTTCGTAGTGGAATCGAACTTCGAGAGTAACTCGGTGGCCTGTTCTCTATTCATCCTATC